CACACTGTACCACACACACCTACACACTGTACCACACACACCTACAGCTCCTAAAGTATAAGCCGTTGTGTATTTTATTATGTGAAGCAATGGTCTTAGAAAAATATCGACTCTTTGTTTGTAGATATCTACTAAACTAAAGCAAATAAAGAGAGTAGGTGTAAGTGCAGCCTTTACATGTTCATAATTTAACTAATGTGTATTTTCTAAGTGTACTAATTATTATTGTTGTAATGTTTCATACGTGCAATATTTCGTCTTTTATTTTGAAGTCCAAGCTCACGTCTCGTTATGCTGTTCTCGCGTGAGTTAGAGAGCGAGAACATGAGAAGAGAAAGCCACTTGTGTCTGCCTGTGCTTCGAGGGAATTACAGTGAAAACTCGACTGTCCATCGACGCGAGTGTGTCTTAATTGACGAAGCGGCAACTTCAGAGGATCACGGACTGAGCACGAGGCTGTCTTCAAATGGCCGGCGGAGGAGGAGAAACTACGCATGCACACACAGAAGTGGACGACGCGCGCAGTTCTTAAAAGAGCAACGCTTCAAGACAGAGCCATAAAGAACTTGGACACTAAGAAATCAATAGTGATCCGAGTAAAGGGCTTCTGTAAAGGTTTGCTAAACCATTATTACCGTGAGTGCCAACTATAGTAGCGTGTGTGGTTAGCGTTTTGACTTATTTGCTCATGTCATTTTATTAAGGCTTGTTAATTAAGGCGTAAAGTTAAAGGGAACACAAGTGTTTTTATTTCCAATTTCTAATTCAAAGTGTGTTTTTGGGAATAATAAGTGAAAGTTATTTCATTGAAGTTCTGAAGTCTTATTTTTGGGTATATTTTTGAAAGGTGTAAAGTTCAATTAAGCTGTTTTTTGCACATGTTCTATTTTAAGTGCATTTCTACCTCTATTGAAGTCTTATAGGGTACATTTAAGTCACACTTACATTTGAGTAAGTGTTGAAAGTTCATTAAAAGGTTTAACTGCATTTTGCTGTTTATAAAAGTGAGTCACTTTAAAGTAGTGATTACTAATGTCTAAGTCTAGTGAGCCTACAATTCAGGTTAGGGAAAGTGCAGAGCCCCAATACGAAGCTGTGGATAACACTGAAGCACAGCAGCTAAGAAGAGGTCAAAGAACTAAAACTCCTACAGAAAAGGGTAGAGAAATGCAAGAAGAACAAATGAAAACGCTCCTACAAAAGTTCAACTACAATTATGAGAAATGGAGAACACAAGTGAAAACAGCTAAGCGGCCATTATCCCAAACAACAGAGTCTTTGTCTGAAGATTTGCTTAATGACATAATTCATGATGTCACAAGTTTGTCAGAAGATGTCCAACATGTTTATGAGGATCTGCGTACAATCTCAACTCCAGACCAGGACACGCGTCGAAGAGTGGATCTGTGTGCAGAGATTTCTAAGTTTGTCATCATCAGAGCCTCAAGTCTCCTGGATGGAAAGGTTCCAGAAGGAGAAAAGAAAGATTGGCCTGAAGCAGGTTCTCTCTTTAACTCAAGCACCTACACTTCTTCTTCGAAAAGCAACTCCAAGCAATCAAACCAGTCTTCTGTGAAGCGACAAGAAGCTGCTGCTGAGGCTGCTGCAAGCCAAGCTGTTCTGAAAGTGTTACAAGAACAAGAAAGAGAACATTTGGAGATTCAGCGCCTGGAAGCAGAAGCTAAAAGAAAGATAGCTGATCAAGAGACTGCAGCCATAAGACGTCGTTCAAAAAGAGAATCAGAAGAGTTAAGACATCGTTCAGAAAGCGAGGAAGAGGAAGCTAAAATTAAAGCTCGTCTAGAAGAAGAGCATGTAGCTCTACAACAGACTCTGGATGACAAACGGAGAAAAATACAGCATTTGGAAGCAGTAAAAGATTTAAATGCAGCACGAGCAAGAATGCAAGTGTATGACCAAGAAGAGTCCATTAAAGAAGAATGGAAAGACGTGATAGAGAGGGATCTGGTAAGTAACCCAGTGCCTGCTCCCACAAGTCCTCAACGACAGGTTGTCTTGACAGGTTGTCTCAAGTGAAAGTACAGCAGAGCTTGTTAAGGTGCTAGCTGGTGCCTTAACTGCCAACAGAATTCCAGTTCCTGAACCCTCAGTATTCAGTGGGGATGCATTGAAATACAATGACTGGAAACTTTCATTTGAAATACTGATTGACCAGAAGAACATCCAAGACAAAGAAAATATATACTACTTAAGGAGATATGTTGGTGGACAAGCTAAGAAAGCACTTGATGGTTATTTCCTGCTCGGAACCAAATCTGCCTATGTTGCAGCATGGGAGATTTTGGAGGAGAGATATGGGAATCCATTTACAATTGCAAAAGCCTATAGAGACAAGCTTCAATCGTGGCCCAAGATAGGATCTAAGGACAGCTTTGAGCTCAGAGATTTTGCAGACTTTCTCCGTAGTTGCAAGGCTGCCATGGTCCATATCAAGGCATTAGAAATCTTGAATGACTGTAATGAAAACAGGCAAATACTTTCAAAATTACCAGATTGGCTAACTGCAAGCTGGAATCGGAAGGTTACTGAAGTCCAAGAAGACAGTAAACAATTTCCCTCCTTCAGCCAATTTGTAAAGTTTTTGACAAGAGAAGCAAAGATTGCCTGTAACCCTGTCACATCATTGCAATCACTGAAGCAAGGTGAAGCTGAAAACACCAAATCTCAAAGACAACAAAGCTTTGCATCAAAGACACTGACCACAAGTTCAGACGAAAACACCGTCTTAACATGTATTCTGTGTAAGAAGAATTGGCATTCCTTGCACAATTGCAGGAAGTTCATGGAGCAAGCTGTCCCAGACAGAATCAAGTACATTCAAGCTCAGAAGCTATGCTTTGGATGTCTCGAGACTGGCCATCAGTCAAGGAGCTGCCACAGTAGGAGTGTATGCAAGAAGCAACATCCTACCTGTCTGCATGAAGAGCGTACAAATCGAGAAAGATACAAAGAAAGACTTCAACCAACACAACAAGAAGAAAGAACCACAGCGGCTATTTCCAACAGAGTAATACTTGGTGAAGGTAATACACAAACAGCTGCTATAATTCCAGTCTGGCTTTCATCCACATGTCAACCAGCAGAAGAAATCCTTGTATACGCTCTGTTGGATTCTCAAAGTGACACAACATTTGTGCTAAGTGAAGTAGCTGAGGCTTTGGAAGCAAGTAAACAACAAGTCAAGCTCATGCTATCTACTATGACCTCAAGAACCACAGTTGTAAGCGCTCAAAGAATGAACAACTTACAAGTCAGAGGCTTTTACTCCGGTAAAAAGATTCCCTTACCACCAGTCTATACACGTGACTTCATTCCAGCCAACAGAACTCACATACCAACAGATGAAACTGCAAAAGCTTGGTCTCATCTAGAGCACCTCCAAGAAGAGATTGCACCTCTGCAAGACTGTGAAGTGGGTCTGCTCATAGGGTACAACTGCTCACAAGCTTTACTTCCAAGAGAAGTTGTGTCTGGCAAAGAAAATCAACCTTACGCACAACGTACAGACCTTGGATGGAGTATTGTTGGAAACATGAATCCCTGTGTAGATTATGGAGACGCCATTGGCGTTAGCCATCGCATAGTAGTCAGACAAGTGACACCAGGTGTAGAACCTTTTCTCAGTCTCAAAACTGAAGTACACTATGTGAGCCGAACCAAAGTTAAAGACAATCCAGCAGATCATGCCTATCAAGGTTTAACTGCAGAGCAACTGAAGACTTCAAACTGGTTCACAAGACCACAGTTTCTTTGGCAAAAGGACCTACCTGTAAGAGAATGCAAGGTGGGAGAAATCAATAAGGATGATCCTGAACTTCGCAAGGAAGACGGGTCATTATTGGATCGCTTACAGAAATGCTCTGATTGGTCAAGGGCAGTTGCAAGACTGAAACGACATGCCAAAGAACACCAAGGTGTGAAACAAAGAACCAATGAATGTACAACCATTCAAAGGCGAAAGACCAAAGTTACCTGACAACAAGACGTGCGCAGTATACCGCCTAAATTGTCTTGAAAGAAGACTAAAGATGTCTTTCCAGGGTCAGATAGTAGGGTCAGAAAACTTAATTTACTGGTTAGCCAAAGCACATTTGACAAAAAGGGTAAACCCACAATTAGGACTGTGTTCCTTGAAAGACCTGTACACAAGGTTGTTACTCTGCTTGAGGCAGAATAAGGTGTTTAATGTGTTGCCTGAGATTCCATGTTAAGTTGTTATCTACAGGTAATGTCTATTTCAAAGGGTAAAGCGTTTACTTTGTACAAACAATCTTTTGTGTGAAATCTCACGAGTAATGTGTGATTTGGTGGGAGTGTAAGTGCAGCCTTTACATGTTCATAATTTAACTGTGTATTTTCTAAGTGTACTAATTATTATTGTTGTAATGTTTCATGCGTGCAATATTTCGTCTTTTATTTTGAAGTCCAAGCTCACGTCTCGTTATGCTGTTCTCGCGTGAGTTAGAGAGCGAGAACATGAGAAGCACCCTCAGAGTAAGATGCACGGATACTTAAAGCTCTGTTAGTTTTGTATTCTTATACATATAAGTTGTGAAGAGAACTGAAGAATACTTCCCTCTGTTTACAGAGCATGCAGCCCAACGAGGTATGTTGTTGTGTTTGTATTACTTTTATGTTTATTATCTCACATGCTGTGCATGTTATTGTGTGTCTAACACGAAACTATGTTTGTCATTTATACTGTTTGTTTGTGTAGTTTTCACGGTGGATTCGGAGGAATAAACCCGTTATGAGAAAGCCACTTGTGTCTGCCTGTGCTTCGAGGGAATTACAGTAGGCCTGTTATACTGAGTGATATATATTATACACACTGCTCTGCTTTCTGCATGGACCTTACTAGGGCTGCACGATTCTTGCTCAAATGTGAATCACGATTTTCCTCCATAACAATTGAGATCACGATTCTCACACGATTCTCATCGTTTCAATGAAAATATTTATTGCAAAAAAAAATGTAAACAGACAACATTTCAACACGAATTCCACCAGCCTGCTGTGTGGTCATTAAAGATTCTTATCTAATCTAATATAATTTGTCTCTCTCGTAACAAAAACATAACTTAACAAAAGGATTAACTTAAATACTGCAGTCAACTACTGAATATAAAAACGGAACAGAACATAAAGTTACAGCTTTAGAATAGATGTAAATAAAGCCTAGCTGCCTAGCTACTAGCACAGTCCATCTACTGCACTAAGATTCTTGGCTAAGAACACCAACATGTCGACATTCTGAGGTTTCAGGGAGGAACGCAGGCAAGTTACAATGTTCCCCCCTGTACTGAAAGCCCTTTCTGAAGGGCTACTGGTCGCAGTAATACATAAGTATTTCCTGGCAAGCATGGACAATCTTGGGTATTGTCCCTTGTTGTCATTCCACCACTTTAAGGGGTCATCTTCGCTGTCGATATTTCTTGAGAGTAGATATGCGCCTAGTTCCATGTCGACAACTTGCTCGACTTCAGGTGCAGCTGCCTCGTTCCCCTTTGCTACTTTAAAAAAGCTGCCTAAGGTCTTTCTCTTCTTCCCACCAGGGGGGGGCGTGGCACTGGAGGAAGCTGTGGTGGGAGTGAGGCTGAGACTCTCCTTGAAAAGGGAAAATAGAATTTAATAAAAAGGTTAACCTTAATATTCTACACTTGATAACTTAAGTAATATATCAGCAGTTAAATACTAAGGTTGATAAACTAAATAAATGTTCCCAATTAATATAAACAGTTACCATAGTAACGATGCTAGTCATCTCATCCTTCAGTCTGGTCTTGACAGTGGTTTTGTTGTCCTCGCTGACATAGTCCAGTTTGAACCTTGGATCCAGACTTGTAGCTATGTCGAGCAGCGCCTGTGTCTTTGGATCACTGTACTTCTCCTGAAGGTACTGCAGGATGGTTGTTTTAATCGAGCGAGCGAGTGCAGGGTCGTCTTTCTTAACTGCCATCAGTGATTCGAAGAGGTGGAGGACTTGATGGCTTGATTCTAGGCTTAAATTAATTTATATAAATATTTTTGGAAATCTCTAAGGGAAAAATGTATGGGGTCTGGAAAGATGGAATAAAAAAAATGGCCTATTCATTTAAGCCTGAGTATAAATATATACCCAAATGGCGGGGGGTACTATAATATTTAGACTATACATTACAATTTTAAAATGGTGGTAATTAGTTAAATGAAATAAGATTTATTTTTTTAAATACATAAACATGTTCAGTACAATATTGACAGTTAATTTAACTCTACACTCTCAGACTTAAATGAACAGAGGACTTTACTGTGGGATGGATTGTACTCAGCTCACCTATAGCCAGATGTAGCCTGTGGCCAAAACACTGGAGTCTTGTCCAGTTGTTTATGTCGGATGCTTTTATGATGTTTGATCCACTATCTGTAGTGATGCACACCATCCTTTTAGGATCCAAGCTCCAGGACTGGAGACTTTCCATTAGTCCCACTGCAATTTCGTCGCCCGTGTGGTCCACGGGGAAGAAAGCTGTCTGTAGGCACCGACTTTTCATGGTGAAATCACTGGTGATGAAATGCACCGTCAGGCTCATATATGGTTCCATGGTACGACTGGACCACAGGTCAGTTGTTGTCGCAAAGTGCTGGACATCTTTCAGTTCTGTCTCGACTGTGGTTCGAGTCTTGTAGTACAAGGCAGGCAATGCAGTACGTGAAAAGTAGTTGCGGGAAGGCACTGAGTACCGCTTATCCAGCGTCTTCATCAAGTTCTTGAACCCTTCATTTTGAACTGTATTTATTGATGCCATATCCTTAGCCAAGTAAAAGGTGATGGCTTTCGTTATCTCGTTGTGCCTTCGTGAGCTGTGTGCATATGGTGTTCCGCTGAATAACGTTTGGCTTATGGATGTTTGCGTCGTTGTCTGCGGGTTTGATATTTTTTTCGGGTTGTCCTTCTTTGCTAAAGTATACTGTATTTTATGGTGACGTTTTAGGTGATTTAATAGGTTTGTGGTGTTACCTGACGTCGTTGCGACGATGCGAGAACAACGCTTACAGTGGACGACTTTTTGTAAGTCATCATCAGGATCAAATCCAAAAAAGTTCCACACGCTGGATGAATGTGGTCCTTTTTTCGGCACAAGCACAACTTTCCTCTCTCCAGAGTCGCCACCGGGATTTTCATCGGTGTCATTGTCCTCGACCTGCTCCTCGTAACTAATTTCTGTGTCACTCATTTCTGTTTTTGTTGTAATCAGTGCTAAATTGCTAAAACTTCTGTAAACATACTGCCGGCTCCTGCCCTCACGTGTTGCAGTCAGTGAGTGTTGCCAGGTATACTCATTATAAGCCACATAATCTTGGGATAATCTTTCTGTAAAGTTGCTTGGTAGTAAGTATTAAGTAATAATGGTTGTTGCGGTTTTGAGATTGTAGATTATTATTTTCAAATAGCCGACCCGACATATATAGGTTTAAAGTGCTCATGTTCTTTTGCGCTTGTTTTCATAGACCTGGTTGCTTATTCCTTCCGCAAAAACTGGCAACCCTAGTGGCTGCAGCGTTAACACTGCATGAGAGGAGGAGCGACAGAACACTACCATTTGCATGCGATCATGGTACTTTAATGTTAAATGTATAGAGTATATTTGCTTTACATCGTTTAAGTATGATTGACATTGTTGGTATTATTCAGAAGCAAAATAATAAAAAATAAATAAAATCAGCATGACGTCATAGGATCGCCGTAATTTAGAAATGAGATCGCATAGGTGTCTGAATCGAGATCACGATCTTTTTTCGGTTAATCGTGCAGCCCTAGACCTTACAGCTGTTCTCTCTGGAAACATCGCGACGCGATGAAAGCAGTTTCTAAAATAATATCCAGGGGATGCATGCATAGCTGTCATTGGCTGAGATAAGTCCGGCCATGCGTCACGCCTCCACCGTTCCCGGAAATGCATCCGTGGAGGAACCATCAGTGTATGCTCGGTTAGAGCTCCTCCAGAGAGCCTCCTCGACGCTCGATCCTCGGTGTGCATTTAGAGAAATGAGACGTCCTTCAAAATGGCGCGCTGAAATTCATTTCCGGGTCACTACTGGAGGACCGAGGAGTCGAGGAGGGGAAATTTGAGTATTGAGAAGCCTCTCTGGTGTCCCTGTGTTTTCTCCTCCCTCCTCACCTGTGTCTTGTTTCTGTGATTAGTCTTGTGTGTATTTAAGTTCTGGTTTTTTCTGTCTGTCTTTGTCGGTTCGTCTTTTGTCATGACTAGTTCGTCGGTGAGTGTTCTGTTTTGTCTTTGTTGTTCACCTAGCCTTGAAATAAAGGAATTCTCACTTTAATCTGCATTTGGGTCCTACCTGCTTCACACACCGTGACAGAACGAACCGACCACAAAATGGACCCAGCAGATGATCCATGGGAGGTTGAATTACAGCATTTAACCTTCTATCTGGCTTGCTGCTTCGATTGGTGGAAGGGAGCGTCCAGTGTTCGACAGAAGAGGGCCGCTCTGGAAGAGGCGCTCCGGTTGGCAGCAGAGAAACCATGTTTTGTTGAGTTCTTACCTGACTGGATTTTGGACTTCCTTCAAGCATGTGATTCCCGGCCTGCTAGCCCCAGGCATGCTAGCTCCCTGTCGCCCAATTCCCAACCTGGCACCATACGCCTTGGTGGGTTCCGCCTGAAGTCAACCCGTGCTTCTGCCCCAGTTCCTGCTCCTGTCCAGGAGTCGTATTCCGGAACTCGTCTGGCTTATGGAGGTCCACGGAGTATTCAGGAGGCTGCTAAGAGGAGTCGTCGCAAGGCCAGGCTAGCAGCCCGAGTCCCAGCAGCCATGGTTCAGGCCCCAACAGCCATGGTTCCGGCTCCAGTGCCGGACCCAGCAGCCATGCCTCCATGCTCCAGTACCGGCCCACGCAGCTTTGCGTCCATACTGGATTACCTGGTTTACACAGCCAGGGTCCTGGCTTACACAGCCAGGGTCCAGGCTTCCGCGCCGGACCCAGCAGCCATGATTCTGGCTTCAATTCCGGCTCCAGAACCGGACCTTACAGCCATGTTTCCGGCTCCAGAACCGGACCTTACAGCCATGTTTCCGGCTCCAGAACCGGACCTTACAGCCATGATTCTGGCTTCAATTCCGGCCCCCGCAGCCATGGTTCCGGCCCCGGAAGCCATGGGCTCGACTCCAGTTTCGGCTACAGGGCTGGCTCCCCAGCCGACGCCAGCTCCCCGAGTCTTATCGGCGTACCGGCCGACTCCAGCACCTCGTCTTATGCTGGCTCCCCAGCCGACGCCAGCTCCCAGAGTCTTGTCGGCGTACCGGCCGACTCCAGCACCTCGTCTCCTGCTGGCTCCCCAGACGACGCCAGCTCCCCTTGTCCTGTCGGCGTACCGACCGACTCATGTCCTCTCTCCAGTTTCTACCCGAGTCCCCTCTCCAGTTCCTTCTCGAGTCCCCTCTCGGGTCCCCTCTCCAGTTCCCTCTCGGGTCCCCTCTCGAGTCCCCTCTCCAGTCTCCTCTCAAATCCCTTCTCAAGTCTCCTCTCCAGTTCCCTCTCCAGTTCCCTCTCAGGTCCCCTGTCAACAAATCCTTTGGAAAGACAAAAAACAACTATTCATCCTTCACATACCGTGACACTTTACATGAAGTTGGGCTGATTGTACTCGCCAGGTTGCGGCCAATTTCAGTAAAGTGGATGATTTTCTGAAAAACTGCAACCAACAGAGTATGTTCCTGAACCCAATTACAGAAAATGAACTGCTTGATATTGTCAATACTCGACACAGTAAACAGTCCAAAGATTATTTAGGCCTTAGTATGAATATTGTTAAACAAGTTGCACAAAGTATTGTAGCCCCCCTAGTAATATATGCAATAAATCGTTCCAACAAGTTATTTTCCCAAATTAAATGAAAATCGAAGGTGATTCCGGTTTTCAAATCTGGTGATAAATCAAGTCTTAATAATTAAAGACCCATTTCTTTACAACCACACTTTTCAAAAATCCTGGAAAAACTCTTTAACAACCGTCTGGAGTCATTCCTCAGCACATTTAATATACTATGCCCCAGCCAATATGGATTTCAGAAAAATCACTCTACTTCTTCAGCAGTAATTGAACTGGTTGAAGAAATTACCAACAACATTGAGAGTTAAGGGGTCAAGCCAAAGAATGGGTCAAGAGTTATCTGATAAACAGGCTACAATATGTGGACATAGACGAGGCGAAATCAAACAAGCTTCCTATAACATGTGGAGTCCCTCAAGGATCCATTTTAGGTCCAAAACTGTTCCTGATTTATATCAATGACATAATCAACACCTCCGACATGTTAAAATTAATTTTGTTTGCCGATGATTCCACCATTCTCTGCTCCCATCATAATCTTGTTAAAATTGTGAATGCAGAATTAGAAATACTATGAAACTAGTTTGCAGTGAATACATTATCCCTTAATGTGGCCAAAACAAATGACATGTTATTCAGTACAAAGTCAGAGAGTAGAAATGACTGCATTATACAGATTTGAAATACCGAGATAGAAAAAGTTGGTGCATGTAAATTTTTTGGACTGCTTGTTGACGAAAAACTCAACTGGAAGAACCATATAAATTACGTACAAACTAAACTGTCAAAAACAATAGGTATTTTGTATCGTACTAAGAACATTCTGGAGGAACAAATACTCAGAACTCTTTATAACAGTCTATTTCTCCCTTACCTTTATTACTGCTCTGAAATATGGGGAAACACGTACGCAACAAATCTAAAAAAATCTCAAAAAAAAGTATTACGAATAGTCTGTGGTGTTGGTAAATATGAACACACAACTCCCATATTTAAAAAAACTCAATCTATTCAAATGTGTTGATATAGTTAAGCTTAAAACAGTACTGATTATGCACAACATTTTCCATAACAAAATGCCTACTAACATTCAAAAGCAGTTCCAAACCACAGTCAGGAAATACC